TGTGTTCATTTTAATTTCCTACATTTTATTCCAAGCTTAAGGTCATTCAATTGTCGACTGCCAATCATGTATGTATTATTATCTTAGAACTGGTTTGTTTCATTGAATAGTTTCCTGTTACTATAAATACTTTTCATAGTGGAGAAGTTAATTTCCCTAATATTTTTGAGCGGATAAATTGGGATTTGACCATAAAATTAATAAATTTGTTAAATGTAACTTGGGATTTGCCTCATTTCCTTAAGTAAGCTTAACAATATTTTCAACTACCTTTCAAAAATGAGTGAATTTGTTAACTATTAAATTGTACTATAAAGGTTTTAATGGTTCTAGCATTTATTTCATTATTTACTACTACTACAATACTTTGGCAATGATGATCTATAGGCTTTTAACTGATATGTAGCCCAAGCTCAGATCCACTTGAATGATTAAATTCGAAGAAATAGCCAAGTCTTTAAGCATCTGGAGAGGCCCTCGGCGAATAATTTGCATAACTACAGCCGGCGAGGGCATATAAATCTCTTATATGCTTTCTATTTAACTTTTACTAAAGACTTCCGACACATTTCTGCGCCGGCCAATTTGCCAGGCGGTTCCCCGGATTCCCCGACTGCCCCGGATCCCCTGAATACTCCCTGGATCGCCCGGATTCCCTGGATTCCCTGGCCTGCAGCCGCTTTCAACACCTACACACCAGTGGCTGCCGGGCCCAGTTGCACTGCGATGGCGTGACTGGCCTCCATTTGGCCCAAAAGCCCGGGAAAGTGGCCCAGAGTGGCCGGCCCGGTTGTCTGCGGCCCTCAAGGCTTGTAACTTATCTAAATGCACACAATTATTGAATATAATCGCCGCCAGAAGAGGCGAAAGCCGAAGCCGAAAGCCAGGGGAGCGAAAACAAACACGTACAATTTTTGCATGCCGCCTTTTAGGCGTTCCTGCGCTTCGCAAAACGAGGGAAATTCGCAAAAGTACCGCCAGTAGAATGCCCTAATTTCGGGAAATTAAAAAAATTGGCAAAGAGAAACAAATGTGGTTTTCATTATATCGCTTTATATCGATCATATTATTTGGGATTAAATCGATCATATTTTTTAATATAAGTTAATAATAACAACTAAGATCTATTTATGTTTTTTAAGAATCTTCAGATTATAGAATTAATTAACAGGTTTTCACATCCTCCGTTTCGGCAACTCCATGACCAAGTTCAATTATCCCAACAAAGCGAGTAGAGTGCAGAGAATAACAAACATTTTGCAATTATCGGGCAAATATTTATTTAAGCGCAATTATCTCAACACGAGTTGGAAAAAAAACAAACGACAGATAAAACAGGGTAAAAATCAAATGAAAAACCCAACTTGCTGGCAATTAAGCGCAATTTCCGTTCCCTGTCAAATGATTATTTAAAATGCAATCTATGGGATACATATGTATATAAATCGGGGTGGGCGAGGGTAAATAGTTAATGCAGCCATGGCAAAATGTGACAAATTATACAGAACGGAGATTAACTCGCCCGAACTATTTGTTACAAGAATCGGGATCGGGATCGAAATCGGGAAAAAAATCAGAATTAAATTAAATAAGCAGTAAAAAACAAGCCACTTATTAATGGCATATGTCCAGTGTCACTCGCACAGAAATCAACAAAATGCAAAAAAAATGAAATTAAACAGAAAAAACAGCAAGGAATCAAAGGTAAAAAACCAGAGTGCAAATTAAATGCAAACAAAGTTGATTTCCCATTCCTGCGAGCATAAACTTTTAATTTCGTTTTCCCTTTTATTTGTAAATTACACATTTCGCTGAACGAAAATTGCAGGTGGAAAGTGCAGGTGAGTGGGTGGTTGAGGGTTGGTCGGTTGGTCGGTTGGCCACATCCGTTCGCAATTTTTGGGGGAAAATCCGCGAATCGTGGGCGTTCTTCCGGTCCGCTCGTCCAGCCCCCGCTTTCTGCCCTGTGTTTATCAGAGTTTTCAGGAAAAACCGTGGCGAAATAATTATAAAAATCAATACAGGAGTGGAAATGGGAGGGAACTAACCAATGTTTGGATGCTTAAGAAAAGTATTCATTCAAATTTAAATTATATAAGCATGAAAGGCATTTTGTAAATCAGGTTCTTTAGTTTAAATATAGCCCAAGTTCAACAAACCATACTATATCTTGACCATTTTCATTTAACAGCAGAGTATAGTTTGGGTATTTAAGTACGTATGTATACCTACTTATTATAACAAATATAGTAATAGTAATAATGTATTATAATATAATAATATTTACATTAGCTTTGAATTGTTGTTGTAATAATTAGCTTATCTATATTATTTTATATAGAATTTAATTACAATAAGTATAAAGTCCATATAAGCTACACTATTTGTATACATTTTATAAGAATCTTTGCTATAAATCCCAGTTCCATGATAAATCTCCTTCCTTTTGATTTATCCACCCTGTTGGCTGATTGGCTGCTTAAGCGGATTGTGGTGGCTGCAGATGATGATGGTATGGTGATGGAGCAGGGTGATCCCGATGCCGGCGATGCTGGTCCACCCACAAAAATGTGCGGCTAATTGGATGTTGGATGTCTGTGTGCGGGGATGGCGGCCATGTGTGGCAGGTACTTTGACAGTCGGCGCCTGATTTCCATGCAAATTGGTTACAGCACAGTAAGCAGGCAATATTTCTGCTTCATTTCATAAATGCGTCCGGGGTCGACTCCTCCAGTCCTCCAATCCTCCAATCCTCCAGTCCTCAATTCCCCAATGGCTGACTTCCAGCTCTTTGGATTCCATGAGTTTGCATATCAAACGCCTGATGATGTGTCTTTAATGTATACATGAATCCGCAGCCAATTTCGTGTTTACTTACGAAATTTATGAATGAAAAGAGTGCGAATACGAAAAAAGAATTCCCTGTAGTAGTTAAAATTCATGCATATTTCAGATGTTAAATAAGATATACATTTTTAATACTTAGTAGGAATTTCGTTATAATTTTTATATTACTAACATATTACAGATGATAAATACCAAACTGAATTTGTAAAATACTTAGTGGAAATTTCGTATTATACATCGCTTTTCTTACCACTTTTCCAATGCCTCTGCAAAATGGTTTTCATTTTCATTGCTGACCATAATTAGCAAGCATCTGAGTAAACTGAAACTGAAACAACGGTCGTGTTTAATTGAGTGGGACGGCGATAGCGGAGCGAAAGAGAGAGAGTACGTGCCGTTTCTGTCTTGTGTCATTTGTCTTTAATGAACGGTTGCCCGCTGGCCAGCGACGTGTTTTTGTTGTCATTTCATTGTCCTGCCAAGCGTTTCTTTTGTTTTAGGCCAACAGCAATTTGAACATTGCGGCCAATTTGTCGATGAAGGCGCAAAAACACGAGCACAAGAAACTCGAAACCCGAAACTCCGGGCTGGGAACCCAGAACACGCGTGCTGCCAACAAAAACGCAGAGCAGAAGAGTTCTGAAGTAGGGTAGAAACAAGGTCCACCCTGGGACACCGTACTGGAAAGGGTGGACCTAAACATTTTTTGAATTATTAAAAATATGAAAAAAACTAAATTTATTAAATATAGTATAAATCCAATCAATTCGTATATCCATAAACTAACTAAGAAAATTGAAAATAAAAACCAAATGGGTACTAAAAAATGTTTCTTTAACTTACCTGAAAAAATAAATAATTCAGGATGTCAGTTTTGAAAATTCCCCAAAAGATGTATACAAAGAAGGCCCAGAACTTTATCACCTTGGAGTACTCGTAAACCCCTTGGATTCAGTCAGCTCCCTCTGCGAATGCCTGGTCCTTGGACTCGAACTCGGAATCGGACTTCAAGGATCGTTTGCTGGGACTGGCCTGCAGCGCTGCTTGCATGCGAGCACGCAATGCCGAACATGGCCATAACCGCTCGACGCCTGCCCCCCGCCGAGCGACGCCCCTGCTTTTGGCCAACTGGTGGCCAACGGTGGCAGTTATTCAATATATCAACTTTTGGCCTAATAAATGCACTAATTGCGGTTAAATGCATTTTGCATGCAATTATTATCATTAGGGGTTGGCTCGCACGTCGTCGTATATCCCCCACCCTCGCCCTCACATCGTTTGTAAATTGTTTCTGTTGTTCATTATTTTAATTGCCCCGGGACACGTCCAACCTAGGTCCCCCCTTTCCATCCCCCAGTGAAGTCCAACAGAACGATTGCTCTATTTTCATAGTATTGTTATTTTTTATTTAGACAAAAAAATATGCGGTTAAATATACTTTACATTTTACAGTTACAACGTTTATGGGTCTAGGCTACCAAAAAAAAAGGTTTATTCGATAATACATTTCGTGGTTAGGCTTAACTATACAAAATTCTTTTGCTTTTTTGGCTGCTAGTTTTTACAACATTCAAATAAATATTTTTTTTGTTTTAATTTTATTCCATTATCTTATGTTAAAAAAAGGTGTAAAAAACATTTTGAATAAGTTACTAAAAGCAAATCAAATAAATTAAGTAAGCACACACACAGATATATGATTATATACACACACAAGCACACACACAGACAAGCGGGGCTTTGGCACATTTTCAAAAACGTGAATTCTTGGGGATATGGTGTTTCGAAGAATATATTTTTGTCATCCATACCATCTCGCTTCAATACTGAACATTTTTGTGCTACCTTTGACCTATAAATAAGCTATACAAATATAAGCTTTTGTGATTTTGATCTTAAGTTTATAAATGCCTTGAAATATATTTCTAATAAATTTAAACCAAATATTTTTGTACTTAAGTTGGAACCATGAAAAGCATGAATGATATGGTGTTTGATCAATACAATTTGTGAAAAATTTAACTAAATATCAATCATCTAGTATAAAAAGACAATTCAAAAACAGAAAAAACATGATATGTAGCCAGCTAAATTCCAAAACTGAAAGCACCTAATATAATCTCTTGATTTCTTAGTTTTTGATAGGTATTAGATTGAAATGTAGTTGGTATCCCCTTAAATATCACGTTTTTGAGACAGCACAAGCCCAATGATGATGGACACACACACGATCGCCGGACTGCAACCTCCGTACCGCTCACACCTGAATCTGATCCTCGTCGTCCGACTGCGAACAGCTGTCGACGGACCGCCCGGGCGGACTGCCCGGGTTGAGCGTCGGACTGGGCGTCGACGGCGGCCTTGGCGGTGGGGAGGCGGAGGCGGGGTCGGAGCGGCCAGGAAGCGGTTTGACCAGTCCGCTCGGCGGCGATCCCCCACCGCCCACTGAAGGCGGCGGCGGCGGCACCGAATGCGGTCCGCCCGGATTCGCGGCAGCAGCGGCCGCCGCACTCTGATAGTAGCTGCTCAGCGAGGACAGCGAACTGGAGGCGGACAGGTGGGAGAACGGAGCCGGGCCCACGCCCACCCCAACGCCCACGCCGACGGACGGAACGCCGGCGTACAGGTTGTAGGGCAGCGGCTTCTGCATGGCGGCTGCGGCGGCCGCTTGGCGGTAGTAGATGTCGATGTTCGTGTGGGGCGTGGCCCCATGGGCGGCTCCGGCGGCGGCCGCATACGGCCAGGCGCCCAGGTAAGGCGATCCGCCGTACAGCCGCTGGAAGGCCGCGAAGTTGCCGGCCTCCGCCAGCAGTTCCAGGCCCACGGCGGTCTGCCGCTTCCATTTGGTTCTGCAAAAAAAAAACATACCAAAATTATTTATTAGATTTTTAACTTTGCAAAACTTGAGTAAATAGTTAGTTGTTTAAGTTATAAATCATATTTTACAAGCTTAAAGTTATTCAGAAAAAATATAAAAACATTTTGGAAAGAATTAAAATTTTACAAATTCAAAGCTGTTTGGAATTTCCTCTTATACACTTCAAAAAGTATTTGACTTGGATTTCAGGAATTTTAAACTTTAAAAAACAATCATAATTTAGTAAATGTACTTTCTTTTTTTTGGAAGTAGATAATATTTCCAATTTATATTATATATATATGATTTATTTCCATATATTCCAAATAGTATTAGTGTTTAATTTGTTCAGTTCTTAAGGCAGTGTAAATTAGACATTTATAAAAACCAATTTATAAACTATTTATTTTTAACTACCTTAGAAAAACAATTAATCTTTGCTTTCGTGACACCCACCTGCGGTTCTGGTACCAGGTTTTCACCTGGCAGTCGCTGAGGTCCAGCTTGTGGGCCAGCTCCTGCCGCTCCTGGACGCTGAGGTACTTCTGCCGCTCGAAGGACTTCTCCAGCGTCTGCAGTTGGTGGTCCGTGAAGGCGGTACGCGCCTTCCGCTGCTTCTTGCTCAGGCCGCTGATGTCGCTGGCGGAACCGCTCTTCACGCTGTTGCCGTCGTCGTCCTTGCCGCCTGGAAGAAATAAGAATTATAATTATTATTAATAAATTGATAATAAATATTAATAGTTTAAAGGTAATAGCTCCTTACATTGCTAAAAACTATCTAGAGGCTTATAAGTCTACTACGTTATTTAAAAAGTAAATGTTAAATAAAGAAAACCGCGACTTTTGAAAGGCCATCTGCCAAAGTACGGCTAATTCGATTCAGATCTGTTAAAACAGTTGCAGAAACAGTTAGAGGCTCGTTTATGGCCACGCAATTGCCGCTTCCGCTCACAAAGCGGTTCGTGTGTGTAAGTGTTATAAAACCGTATGGCAAAATGTCTAAACTTGCCACAAAAAGGCGCACGGGAGATAGCCACGCCGGCCAACTCACCCCCTTTTCGGCGAGCAGTGTTCTTGGCCAGAAAAGGTGGAAAAGCGGCCTTTTAGTATATAAAATTTATGTAAATTCAACCGATTGTGGTTACCCGATAAGCGAGAGCCAGTTTTTGGCCCATGGTCAGCAGGGGGTTAAGGGGCTCAAGGGGGTTAAGTAAACTCTCAAGCGTTAAATTATTTAAAGCGAAAATTTGCCAAGTGCCGCATTTAAAATTGGTCTGCAAAGTGGAGGTGAATTGGCTTAGAATAGAAAGGGGGAAGTGGCCATTGTTTACCCCAAAAATTCAACAGCATTTGGAGGTAATTTTAAATTGATTGAAAACACACTATAGTCTTAATAACTTTTTTACTACCTTTAGGCTTTAAAACAGTAGAAGCAGTAGTAGTTCATAAAGTGTTTGTCATCCCAAACCGAAAGTAAACAACATTTTAGTATTCGTTTAACAACTGCCCCTAGTATTGAACTTTGAAATATGAAACAAATAAGAATACATGTTAATTATTTCTACATATCATCGCTAATCAAGAGCTTATACTGCCGCCAAGGCGAAAGTCGCTTACCATATAAAACGAAAACGATAAATGATTAATGGCAGCGATAAATGAGCGATAATGCCGCAATTGAATAAAATTAATTTTCAATTAAAGTAAATTACTCACGAATGTTGGCGCCGACTTAGTGAATTATCGATTTGCGGGCGATAATTTGTGGAACATTTTTGAAAAAGGCAATACTGGAAAGCCATAAATAAAGGCCAAATAAAATGGAGAAACGTGTTGTAAAAATTAAACTCTTGTAATTGAAGCTCTCATTAAATATTTAATCAAAGCAAATGTATGTATGACATTTTCAACTACAGTTCGCTTGGATATTTTTAAATCAAATGCTAGTGGTCGATAATCGTTTGGCTTTTTTGCAACTGAAGTTCAGGGCAATTGCGAAATTCCGATGAATTGGCGGATTGCCGCCTTCCCTGCCCGCTGGCCATCTTCCCAAAGGAGCAGGCCGACGCGACTACCGTTTATAAAAGTGCAATTGGCAACAGGAAATTGCCGCAATAAATGGCTCAAAACAGGGCCCAGATGGAGTGATGGATGTGGATATGGAGCTGGAGCCGGAGCCGGAGCTCAAGGAAACCTGGCCAAAAGCGAACAGAGCAGTGATGAGATGAGCAAACAGACTGCAACATTTTTTTTCTGTTGCCCGGCTGCCATTGCCGTGGGGCGTCTATTAAAGGGGGTTAAATGCATTTTTATAACAATTTCCACAATTAAATGATTGCGAGGGGGGCCGGTGCGTGAGATAACAGGGGGAGAAGAGGGGGCGAGACGCGAGTGAGATGTGTGTAATTATTTGAGATTTTTTTTATTCTGCGGCTGTGGCCGTTTTTAAACTGCATTTTGTTGCTGCATTTCAGGCAGCTCCCCCGCCCCGCCCCCAGGCCAGTGCCACGCCCCCCATACTGCCATAATAGCTCGCAGATCCGCAGGTGCATGCCCCCCAGTTTGAGGAGAGGGGAGCAGTGGGCGGGGGGTCTTTAGAAGCTTCGCAATGACGCAAACAAAGCGTGAAAATGCATTTTTTTTTTGTTTACTATACAACTAAACCACAACAAAAGCAAAAACAGCAAGAACGAGAATGTAAAATGGTCATGCAATAATTTTTACAGTTTGTTTTGCAAAGCGACATCGACGAGGGCCGCCAACGCCGCACCCCCGCACCCCCGCTCCTCCCCCATTTTCAGGCGCACGCTCCAAAACAAAAGACTTAGGCAACGAACTTGGCTGCGGCACTTCGGACTTACTTGGTTTTTGACTTAATTCAATTAGGCTTTTAATTGGCTATGGGGAAATGCGTTTCACAACAAAAGCATTAGCACGAATTAAAGGAGAATTCGAGTTATTCTGTTTAAGAGCTTGCTGAAGAATTATTGGAACGTTCAACGTTATGATATTCAATATAACCTAAACGTTAAAGTTTTGAGTTCTTTCTATCAAAATGTTTTGAAAGGGAAATTACAAAACAATTAAGTTGTATCGATTTATAATTTAGGCAACAGTATTAATTAGATATACTTTTCGTTTTGTTACAATTGCATCTAATAGATAAAAAGAGACAGTCGGTCATGTTAACCGTTCTGATTATAATTAAATTTCTGTTAGTTCAACAAAGCTAATTTAATCTAACTTTTATTTTTGGTATTACCTAGTTTATCAAGAAAAAAAATTAACTAACTCTTATTTTATGAACTTGTTAAATTCCAAATCTTGAAAGAATAAACAAATTTCATTTTAAGTAAGCCATTTTAAAAACAGGCCAATTTTGAAAACTGTTCGATTGGGTACACTTTTTGAGTATGGTCTTTTATAGATTCATTTCAGTTTCTTTCACTTATTTTTGGCTGTTAAAAATATATTAAAGGGACTTAAGTCTTAAATAGATTTTACAAGTCTGTCAAAACTTATTGTAACAAATTGAGATTTGTGAGTTAGAGAGAATCGTAATTGTTATGGATTCTCTAATTGATCTGCTGTTTTTGATTATGAAGATTTATCAAGAAATGTGATTTGAATTGAGGCAGGAACAGAGGGGCTTTCCCGACCCTTAAACCCTACCTCCCCCTCCCCCCGCATAGTACAGAGGCTCACCTCACCATTGCTACAAACGCTGTGATCGTCCATGTGGCCGCTGCCACCCGCCTCGTCGCTGTCGCAGTCCTCGTTCTCCTCGTGGTAATCGCTGCTGTCGTCCAGATCGCCGCTCTTCGGTGGCGCCACCGCTCCGCCCACTCCGCCCACCTCGCCGCCACCCACTCCGGGCGGTCCCCCGCCGACGGCAGCCGCAGCAGCAGCGGCCGCAGCAGCAGCAGCCGCAGCTGCATTGTTGCGCGCAGCAGCCGCAGCAGCGGCAGCGGCATAGTGCTGCTGCATGGCCGCCGCATATTGGGCCACATTTAACCCATTGCCGCCGGCGGTGGGTGGGAAGTGCCCCAGCTTGCCGTGCGGATGCATCAGCTGGTGCGGATGTGAATGTGGCGGATGCGGATGTGGCTGTGGGTGGTGCAGGGCAGGTGGCAAGGCCGCCCCACCACCGGTGGCAGTGGGTGCCTCGAAGCTTTCGCCATTATTGTTGTTGTTGTTGTTGTGAGCGGGACTGCTGCCGCCGCTGGAACCCGAATTGTTGTTGTTGTTGTTGTTGTTGTGGTGGTGGTGGTGCAACTGCTGTTGGTGGTGCTGCTGCTGCTGTTGCTGCTGCTTGTAGAAGGCGGCCGCCGCACTGCCCGCCAGAATGTCGTTGATCATGAAGCGGGATCGATTGGGCTTGAGGCCCGCTGCCGTTGTGGTGCTGCCGCCGCCGCCGCCGGAGGACATGGTGGTGGTGCCGCCGTGGATGTGGATGCCAATGGAAGCCACCGGCGGGGGCTGCAGGCCGTAGTGGTGGTGGTGGTGGAGCTGGTGGTGCTGCTGCAGCAGCTGGTTATGCGCTGCGTTGGGCTCGCTGGGCGTTTGGGTGAGTATGCTCATCGAGTCTTTCATAGCCAGCCCCAAAGGGTTAAGGGTTCTCTCTTCCCTTACTTATAGCTTTTTTAAATATGTATATTTTTAATATTTATTTAACACTTCACTAAAAAAATGCACAGTCACTGGAAGTTCTCTGTCTCTAGGATGTCAGGTTCTCTTAGCTATTGTATCTTTTTTTTTTTCTTTGGCCTTATCTTAGTTTCAAAACCCAGCGACGTCGTGAGCGACTTGGCTGCCAAAACGAGACTGAGCGTTTATGAAACGCACCTGCCCGAGCCGCCGCTGCCGACGCCTCTGCCGGCGTCAACGGCGACTGAGGCTGCGGCGGCGGCGGCGGGCAACAAATTTGCCACTTTGTCATAGGCGGTGGTTGGGCCGCCTTAACCCCCGAAAGCCAGAGAAGGACGGCCAGTCGCGCCCCGTCGCCGGCTCTCGCTCTCCGGCTATCGCCATCTCATCAGCCGTCTTGCTCGCACGCAGCGCCATGTTGCCGGCGGTGTGGTGAATCCACCACGCCGTGGTGAACTGCAGTCTCTCGCCGCGTTTTATAGCACCAAATGTCGGTCAAATGGCTTTTTCGGTTCGCTCTCTTTTGGGCTCTTCGGGGCCTTGAAAGTGGCCCAAAATGGCGCTACGGGGAAGTCGGTGGACTTGTAGGGTGGAGGCGAGTCTTCAGACCCTGGAAACAAATCCAAAAAAAATATTTTTCATATTTTACTAAGGATGTGAATCACCAGGAACTAAAATGTAAAACAGTTTTATGTTCACAGCAAAGAACTAATAACAATGCATTGAAAATATATTATATATTATTTTTTAAGTTATAATACAAATGGTCAAAATTTTTCTTTTGAATTATGGTAAAATTAGCTACATTTAAAAATTTGTTTGTTCAATGTTAAAGGGTATATTAATGTTTCTATTTTAAAAATATAAGGTAGTCAGTTAATAAACATTTTATTTGACACAACAAATATATTTCTTTTAAGAGGGATACCAAAATGATCTTAATTCGGATAAACTTAGCAATCTAAAAATATAACTTCTCTAAAAAATAGTTTTCCTCCTAAATATGATACAATTTTACATTGTTCTATTATACTATATAATTTTATTGCCATATTTGTTGGCACCACAGTCAACAGTCAAGTGCTCGATTTTTCTGTTGGTCGACTTGAAGACATTTGAACCCCCGACAAATGGGCGTCTCCCTGTTCGATTCCGATTCCGATTCCACGCTCCCAGACAACAAGATGGCAATTAAAATTTCACGCCAATAGCCCGGTTAGGGTCACCATTTGGTTTTCGGGTTTTCGGTGGCCACATGTTAGCCAAGGACTAATTGCAGGAAGGGAAGCGGAGCGGGATGAACGAATGCAATTTCTCGAGAGCGGCGGTTTCCGTTTGATTGATATTGATTCCGGTCGAGGAACTAAGAACTGAGAACACGGAACGGGGAGGGGGAAAAGGTCAGGTGACCTGCAAAGGTCATTAGTGGCGGGGAAATTAGGGCGCCGGGGGGCGGGGAAAGCGGACTCAAGCGCGCGCTTCAATTGCGGAGCGCATTAAAATAATTAGCGTCTGCCGGAGCATCAAATGCGAGGAAAAGTCAACCGAGTCCGAGTCCGAGTCCGAGTCCTTCGTCCTGATGACGGTTATTGCACTTAAATGCATATAATTGCCAGCCCAGTCGCATATCCTGCGGTCTGCGGTCGATTCGAGTTCGAACTGCCAATGCCAATTGAATGCTTAAAATAATTGCACTCGAGCAGCAATGCCAGCACTGAAAAAAATAACTACTTTAGTTTTATTTTGTAAGCCATGAATATTTATAGGTAAAATATTGTATTTGTACTTATATTATATATGCTAAAAATAATGCGAGGAATAAGAATACTAAGAAATATAAATATAAAGAAACATTGTATTTGTAATTATACTATACTTGCGGAAAATACTAAGAATACTAAACATACTACGAACTCTAAGAGTATTAGGAATATTAAGAACACTTAGAATACTAAGAATGCTAAAAATACTAAGAATGCTAAAAATACTAAGAATGCTAAGAATACTAAGAACACAAATACTAGATATACTACAATTAACATACATTTGGAATAAATATTCCATGTACAATTTTACTATATAGAGGTATCATTCTAAAAATTAATTTTGAACCCTATTTTTCAGGTATATGAAATGGAAATGCAAATGTAAGTGTGAACCTAAAAAAATGATCTTTTTTCCAGTGCAACTGCGAGAAATTATGAAAAAGAAATGTACGAATGCAGAAACCGCAATGCGCAGTTGTCCCAATGCCACACCCCCTTTCCCCTCGATTACTGGACAGTTGCCAGCGAACTTGGACAGTTGGCAGCGTTTTTCCGGTCTCTTCTGCGAACTGCTTAGCGGCTGTCCATATGCAGCCTTCTATCTCTCGGATATCTAGCCATCTATCTATCTATCTTTCGATCTACCTATCTGCGTATCTCGCCATCTGAAAGTCACCTTAATTGGCCTAATGTCCACTCACTCAGTTACTCTGTTTGCACTGCAAATATCCTCAGAAGGTTGTTAGAAAAATGTTACTTGTAGGTTTAGATTAAAGGTTTGAATTCGATAATAGTTATCAAATGGTAGAATAGTACAAGAAAACCATCCCTTTTTACTGCGATTTTTGAAATGTGCTTATAAAAATGTGTAGTTTTCCGGTGGTATACACTCATATGTACAACTGCAACCCACATGCACCTCCGGGGCACAACTCCTGTCCAAGCTGATCCCAAAGTACGTCCATTTCCATTCCCATTTCTGATCTGTTTCCGTGGACTTTGCGGGGCCTGTGGAATCTTAATCGGCATCTTTGATATTATAATGTTCGTGTTACTGCGTGGACAAACGTAATAAAATAACTGATCGTTGTCGCTGATAAGTTAATTTACTTTTAATGTGCTGCCCTCGCCGAACCCTCGAGATCCAGATCCAGCGATCTTGCAACGTGGGGGTAAATGGGCTCGGACCTCGGAGGTGACAAAGGTTCTCGCTGGACCGGGCCTCGAATATGGGGCCCCGAAACAAGGCCTCTGCTCCAAGATCGCGGCTCTGACTTGCCACGGTTTATTTCTTTTGATTCCCCGATACCCTTTAGTGTGGGTTTATTTAAATTGGAGCACTGCGATTTCCTTAAAAATATATTCGTTTTTATTTTGTCAGAGCTATACTTCTTTGCAACTTTCCTTAAAAAAATGAAAAGCTTTAAAAACCTATCAATACAAATTCCTTATGCATACACTGAAATTGAAAAAAAAAGTTTAAGTGTAAAGAAAAAGTCTGTATAAATTTACATTTTTAGGTTTTATCAAAACGCTAGAAAACTAAAAAATATTATATTATATAATATATATTATTATATCATATTATCATGTTATTTTTAATACTTTTCTAACAAAGGGTATCAAAACTTTCGATTTTCGACTTGTTGGCTTGTTTTTAGTTTGTTTGCCTTGTTTTATTTGGCTCTTGTTTGTGTTGGTCGCGTGTGCCGTCGATGGCCAGCGTTGTTGCCAACTGATTTGTCAACAACGTGGCCAACAAAGGTGTTCTCCTGCCCCTGCCCCTGCCTCTTAACCCTCTGGAGCCCCCTTAACCCCCTGCTTACCCGCGATTTATCGCTGCTCCAGATCAGTCAGCATGCCAGCTACAACGGCAACAATAGCAACAACTGCAGGATAAACATAAACCCTGATTCCAATTCCAAGTCTACCCCTTCTGCCCCCCGCCCCTGTCCATTTTCCGAGGCGGCGCTCGTTTTGAAAATTGATGTCGCCCGGGTCCCCCACTAAATGGATGCTATTTAAATTTTTACTGCCTGCCGGCACCTATAAATCCATTGGAGGTTTTGATGTGGAGATCCTATAGGATCTCAAAGAGGTAAATCCAACTTCGATCGGCCCTCCCCCTTTTGGCACCTGCCCGGATTCGGGCCTTTTTCACTTTTTATGGCCCAGCTTAGCCCGGCCGACTAATCAACACCTCGCTGCGATCGCACTTTGATTTGATTTGATATCTCAATGCGAGCGGGAAAGGTAATCCTTTTGAGGGGGATGACTATAAAAAAGTTCCTCAGAGGATTTCTGATGACTTCATCCGATTGATGGAATACTTTTTAAGTAAGACCAATCTTGAGTTAATCATTTATTATAATTATATATTACATATTTTATTATATTATCAATACTATTTTATTTTAATTAAAATAAATATTGTACTGTATTTTTTATCAATATTTTGAGATAGTATTCGCACTTCGACTTGTATCTTTCGCTCGTGTCAAAGCCAAAATGCCCCATTTCCAATTTTCTGTGTATCTTTGAAATTTTCGTGTCCAATTTGTAGATAAACTAATGGTTTTCTCGCATACTTCTCTTATCTCCGGATGGGCCTCTTAATTAGGAGCGCAAGTTGGCTAAACGACGGCCAGGCGACATTTGCCACATTTGCATTGGCCATAAAAATATGCTTAAAGCATTTCCAAATGCAACCACTTAAATGCCCGATTCCGATGGCTTGAAACTGGCGACGAAGTGAATATGTATTTTATGACTCAATTTGGTGCACATAAAACGAACCACGGGAAAAAACGAGAGGGAGGGGTATTTTTGTGGCCTAAGCCATACAAAGTGCAACATTGTCTGGGTTCCCCCAGAAACGATAACGATATAACGATGCCAAAGGTGTGATCTCTAGCGATGGCAACGTGATTGAAGAACTAAAAACCAGTATAATTTCCAAATATGCATAGATTAATGTTCCAAGTCTTTAATTCTGAAAATTCCCCATATTTAAACGTACATTAGAAATATTTAAGCAAGATGTAACAAAATATCCCCAACCCAATTACGATACCATTTCTAGAGATCCCATAAATTTTGTTTGCATAGAAAAGTGTACTAATTCTTAAAATAAAATATTTAAACCAAGATATATTTAAGCAAGAAATATGTAAATATCCCAACCAAATCACGCTACCATCCTTAGAGATCCCATAACTTCTTCAGGTGGTTGGGGCAACTGCAGTTCGATAGTTATTGTGCCGCTCGGCTGATTGTTGTTAATTTTTATGTGCAATTAATCGGCTACGCCATTGAGCATTTATAAGCATTTCTCGCACCAACAGAGCCTCCAACCAGAGTAACTGACCAAGGCAAGTGTGGGACCCCTTCTTGG